GTCATCCACCAAAAGAATATTGCCTTCCTTTAATTATTAGAATAAATCATTCCATGGAAAACTGTTTGGCACATAATGAAGATAAGACGATGATAAATATAATACAAAACAATAAAAGGAGATAGAGTCAGTATTCAAGCAAACTCATGCTAGTGGCAAGTCAAACCCTTAAGGGACCACATACAGCCACCTGCGAGGCTCAAAATGTCTGTGTTGCTTCATACAAGACCCGGATACAACTTTGTCTGGTTAATATTGACCCAATTAAATGTTCAATAACTGGCTTTTCATAGTATTCCGCCTCAAACATTTGAAACTTTTTCAAAAAAAAAGTTTCAGTTGTTAGGAGAAAAGATATGGGTAGATATTTTATTCACTAAGTGTGGATTGAATAAAAATGAAACTAGTGGGTTGTGCTTCACCAGCTTAGGTATAGTAGATTCTGGTAAGACTAGCAAGATGGAACACAGTACGCTTGAGCTCAGTTTTTTAGTAACCTCAGTTTTTCCAGAGATGTTTGTTTGTGGCACAGAGAAACACATCTAAATCTTCTAAGGTCTTTGGTTTTAAGCTCAACAGAAAGGTGCAAACTACATTTGCAGGAACTCTGGTTACTTTGTAGCAGAAGGATATTTAATTAAAAGAAATCAAGTAAATAAACCTAGTAAGTCATTATTGACAGCCCCCCTGTCCAGTTTTCCTCATGGTCCTTGGATGAAGTCTCTTTCCATAGACAGATCTAACCCATCTAAGAGAAGCTTTTCTGGCTCACTTGTCACTTTCCCTAAAAGTAGCTTTGCTATGGTAGCTGACTCACTGTTGTCCACTTACTTCCTATGAAATTCCTTTGGAATCAACATCCAGGAGCATTTTGGGCTCTAAAATAAAGGCATATCACCCTGGGAAGTACATCCTCATGAGACTGATGTCCTTTATTAGCAATTTTTCTCTCTCTCAATTTCTACTTGGAACTCACCTCACATAAATGCACATTCTTCTTTATTCTCAACTATGTTGATCTTGACTAGAACTCTGTTCACTAACCCACATTCCAGTTAGAGAACTCAGAGCCTCTCATTGCTCCATAGTTCTTCCAATAATATTTGGAAGACTGTGGGACATTTTCTCCTGCAGTAGAAAATCCCAGTGGGGTCATAAAGCTAGCTTAAGTGAACTTTGACTTCTTCTCCTGAAGAACTGACACAGATGATGAAGTGAAAGAACACAGATACATAAGAAATAGAAAATCTCTAATAATAACCATGGTTTGTACAGAGAAATCAAGAAGGTAACTTTTGACACTAGACAGTACACATTTCTCATGGCTACAACAGTATTATGAGAAAGGGAAGGAAGTAAATATAGAAGCTAATTTGCAAGAATTTTGACCATGAATATAAAGGATGAGCAAATAAGTACTATTTAGGGATGGTAGAACTGAGAAATTGGGGGTGGTGTTTTCATTTATGTTACTTCTTTTTTGCAGATAAGGGATATCTAATTATCTATATAATAATGTTATAGTTACCATTTGGTAGCTGGGAGTGTTGGGGGGCACTTTACCGTGTTTTCTTTTCTTGTTTAATCTACAAAAGTTCCCTTCCTTTCTCCCATTTATGGGTAAGGAAATCAGAATGCAGAGAAATTATGTACTTTGCCCACTGTAAACAACTGTAAGTGAGAAAACCTATTAGGTACTTTGCCCACTGTAAACAACTGTAAGTGAGAAAACCTAATTTAGACTGAGTTCTGCAGAAGCTGTAGCCTGAGCACCACCATCCAAATGAAGGCCATGAAGAAGGAAATGCTTGGGGTGCAGAGAAGAACCTACAATTGGTAGAATTATCAAGCCCTCAGAAGCAGCTAGAAAATTGGATTCATAATACCACTATAGGAGAAAATATATGCCTTGGAAGGTGGAAATATACTTCTCAGGGACAAAATGAAATGTGCAATAAAAATTAAATTGTTCTATATTTTAAGTTATACCTGATGATACAACTAAATTGACATAGATGATTAAATAAGGTTAGAGTTTGTTGGGGTCTTTAAAACTAACTACCTACACTAGATGGTATATATTAAAACTCTATTAAAGAATAGAAGTTGGTCCAATAGGTCTATTTTGGACTTTAGCCAGCCTCTTACTGATCTCTTAATTAGCTTCAGTCAATCCCACACTAAATCAGAAGCTAAGAGCACTGTATTCTGTGGGTCTCCATAAGACAGTCTTACACAGCAGTAAGGACAGAAACCACAAGATGGTACAATGACAAGAGTTTTCAAATGAGAGTCAAAAGACCTAATCTCTGGTTGTAGATGTACTGACTAATCTCGTGAACCTAAGAGATTCACTTTATCTTCTTTGTGACCTATATCTCCAGTCTTTGTAGGAGGAAATTAATTTATTCAAAAATAATCATTGAAAGCCTATGTCATAAGCACAATTATATGTATTAGAGTATACGCTATACCAATGTCTCCAATTCCCTGGAACTTTATTCCTAATAAGGAGTAGCAGACCAGAAAATCACAAAGGAAGTGAATCAGTAAATAATATCTTAGAAAGTAATACATAGAAAATATTACTGTGAGGGAATAAGCAGTTTATGAGAGGCTTCTTTTCTCAAGGCAAGAGATGATGGTGACTCTTGGAAAAGTTACTAGATGCATTTGGAATTGTAAAAACATAAGATTTCCTGATGGGTTGTTGTGATGGCAAATTTGTGATCCAATCTTAAGGAATGATAAATCTAGAGGAATTCCACCCACTGACACTAACATTCATGTCTTCATGATTGAATAAGAGCATCAGAATTATATCGTACCCTAGAATGTTAGAGTACAAATACCCAAATATTTTCTCTTTCAAGAAAAGTAAAGGTAATAAAGAATCAGGGATGAGTCCCAGATGTTTTTCTTTTCAACACACATATAAATGAGTTTGGCATTATTGAGCTGGAGCGAAATAGTAAAGATCAGGTTTGAGGGCCTAGTAAATCAAGGGTTCTGCTAGTTGGTTACTAGATATTGTCATACAGGATACCTGACGTTAATTTCAGTTATAACATTCCATGATTCTAGGTTGTAATCAGGTAGGCAATTTTGAAAGTGATGAAAAAGAAATTGCATTCACCAATGAGTAATGGAGGTGGGAAACTGTGTGTAAGCCAATTGCTCAAAACCAGGAAGTCAGAAGTCTAATTCACTAAGAACTTACTAAGGTCAAGAATAGGACAAAGATATCCGATGTCGGGTTAAAATTACTGAAGACCTAGTGTGATACCTTGCAGATCCAGTCATGATATACATAATATGATAGACGCATCTTGAAGACAGAAAAGCATAGTAAAGATGGTGGTGATCTCTCTCTGGTTCTGGTTTGTGCAAAAAAAAAAATGTATTGCCTTTTTAAGCTCAAAAATTGAATGAGTTAGAACACTTTAGTTAATATGCCTGGGTGGGTTTAGTGTGAAATCAGCCATTTTACTTGGAGGGCTGGACTTATCACCTCAGAAGCGTGAACATAAGTGTGAAAAACATCCCCCCTTTTGGTCCACATTTCTTCTAATAAATGCATCTTTCTAGAAATCCTTTCTCATATGCAGATGATTTAAACATCCCATAGTTCTCATTTTTGAAGCTCATTCTTCACCTTCTTCAATAGAATTGTCTTAAATTCTATCAAGAATGTGGTGTCATCATAGATTTGGGGAGATAGGGAGTTAATTGCTATAGAACACTTTTATTTCACTTGGTACAAGTGAAAAATAATAGTTTTTCAGCACTTTTTTCATTAGCCGATAATCCTGAAATATTGTCAGGCAGAATGAGGAAAATTTCTGTTCCCTTAGAGGAAACATTTTGCTGGAGTCAAAACCACTGGCACAGGACAGGTGACAAACTAAAACGGTTCCTATTTACAGCCAGAGTTAGCTACAACCAAGGATCATTTGAGATGTTGCAAGAGGAAAACATTTTGCAATTTGTCATCTAATAGGTAAAGATAAAACATGATTCTGATATTCTTATTCAATCATGAAGAAATAGATGTTGGTGCCAGTGGGTGGAATTCTAAGAGTTTTCATTCTGTAAGTCCAGGTCACAAAGGGGCCCTCACAGCCAAAGCTAGTTTTGAGCAATCTAAGCAACAACAATTGCTGAGAAAGTGAGTGGATATGTGAGGCATCGATCTGACCATATAGTTTCACTTCAACACTAGATTTTTAACATTTGATAGAAATGAAAAAGGTAAAGGGCGGTTTTTTCACACTTTTTATATTTGGTAAGTGATAGGTTCCACCCAAATAGTGTACCAATTTCTTTTAAATGATAGATTTTACCCGAAAACCTCACCTAAACCCCATCTCAAGTTTTGTTTTTTTTTCCTATCAAATATTAACCTCTTTGCAAAGACACAGAGGAAGATAGACCTTCTAAAATTTCCCCCTGACAAACTTACTTTTGCCTCATAAATTAGTTTTACAGCTATCTTTCCCACCCATACAAAATCATGGCTTCACTATTTTTCCAGCCCATTCTATTATTTCTAAATACAGGTCTCCATTATGACAGAAAATACGCTACTCAGTGCTCTCATCCTTCCACCACCATCACTGTCTAAAGTGCTTTCTTCTCCTCAAGTCAGAGATGTGAGAATATAAAAAAACAAATACTCCACAATATATTTATAAAGTAACAATAGCATATTTCACTGTTTGAACTAATGTGCTCAGTATTTCTACATGTGTGCACTCTTTTATGAGTTGCTATTGTGACAAGAAATATTTTAATGTAAGCTTTTAAATAAAAACCAGTCTCCATTAAGCCTTTAACACTGTAATTCTTTCACCCAGGAATCCTGTGTTGCTGTCCCAATCATTGACTCTAACATGTTGGGGAAATTTCTTTATATAGAACAACCATTCGTGGGCATTTTGAAGTTTCAATCAACAAACATTACCAGACATATTGTTATAAGACCAATGCATACCCTCTGCCCCCCATCTGTGTCACTAATTTGACAGCATAAAAAGCATGAAAGCTAACTTTATTTTGAATTTGCTGATAAACCTTTCTTTTATCCTAGAGCAAAAGACTTATTGCAGATCAGTAACAAAATCTTTGACTGGTGTTGGGAACTATCTTAAGAGACCTTATGTATTTGAAGGAAATAAACAACCCATGTTCACTCCAAGCACATGAAAATTGTTGCCATCTTTTCCAAGTCCAGACTTCTGGAAGTCAAGTCCACACTGAGTCAGAAGGAAAAAAGGAAAAGACAAACGCCAGAATGCAGTGGTCAAGATATTCAGAGCAACAAGTCTTTCGAACTTCACTATCCTCCAGGTCAGAGTTAAGATAGAATGATTCCACTCGAGGACACTGTAGTCGACAAATCTAAAACCTGCTCAAAATAAAAGGGAAAAAAATGAAATCAAAACACAAAAGTGTCACAGCTTTATTTTAGAAGTGCTATTTAAACTATAAAGGATTTCCTGTTGTTCTCATTTTAAATAATTTTATAGGATTTTTTTGTTCTTGGGTTACTCTATATCCAAATAATCATGTATGTAAATGACTCAAGACAACAGTGGATGCCACTGACAATGTAAACATTATTGTTTATCCAGAAGCATTATATGTTCATGCAAAAAATGGCATTAAAAGCTTGTGGTCAGATCAAAAAACCACAACTGTAATTGTTTATTTATACAGTTCACCATTACTCTGCAGTGTAAGTTTACATTTTTAAAAATTTCTAAACATTGCTGAGTTAGTCTTAGAAGAGTGAAAAATGCATCATGCGCCTAAATGATTAAAGACAAACAAGTCGAGTCCACGCATACAGAGCAAGATGCTTTAATATGGAGATTATTTACTTTGTTCAGGCTTATAGTTTTCATTTTTATGCTGTCCTTGAAATTCCATGATAACAGGGCCATTCAGTGGAATTTCTGCATTTTTCTCTTGAGTTCAGGGCAGCTGGTTTCTTTCCTCCTAAGCAGAAAGCTAAAGTATATTTATCACTCTAACAGTGACTCAAAACAAACAGGAAGTCTTCATCAGCCGGCTCCTGGGCATAGCTGATATTAGGTACTGGCAGAAAGGAAACAGAGCCCTCATTCTGTGGGAGTCCGACAGAATGGACATGCAGATGCAGGCGATAACAAAGTTAGGGATGCTCCAAATGACCACGGTGCTCTCCCCAGATTAAGTGCGCCTGCAAAGCTCGCCAGTTTTCAGAGTATGTGAAAATTCCTCAGGAGTTTTCCTTTCCATTTCAGTTTGAAAGAGTAGTTTGAACTGGATACCACAAGTCTTAGAATCCTTGTGAACCTATGTGCCAAAGGAAACCTGGGAGGGAGCTATTCTGGGAGATTTGGCTTTGATCTGGTTGCTAGGAAAAAGCCCTGCTTTTGTCTGGGAGTATTCTGAATGGCTCCTTCAGTCAGAATGAGGCCTGCAGGTCACTGTCTGAATTAAGTGAAGAGGATTTTTTTTTTTTAATGCTAAAAATGAAGTTGTCGCTGTGTGCCATAATAAAGCTGGAGAGGGCGAACTCCGCTGCTGCGTGCTGGCCTCAGCACTGTGCTGCAACTTCTACTCCAAGGTATACTGAGAAAATCACTGGAGCATGCTTGCAGATCAAATATATGCAAATATTCCTCAGTGGCACATATGTTCCTAGAGACCTCCGCCTTCACCTTCTTTTTTAAATAAAACCTGTTTGAGATTCAAAGCCCACTTTGTTTTCATTAACACAAATGTTCACTATCAAACGATTGTTTTAACCTCATGAGTAAATAGAAAGGTCCAACACTCACACCTAACTTTTTTCAGCTAAACCAAAATCAGAATGCATTAGACTGAACACTACTTATATTGATTCAAAATTAATAGGCAGTTCACTTTGGGGGGTCCTTTAAGTATTTTTTTTTTATTTGGTGACTAATCTCCTTGTTTATGATAATGCTTATACCTTTGTATAAAGACTTTACAGTCATTATCTAATCTTCACAGATCCTGCTGCAGTAGAAAGGGAGAAAATCTTATCTCCATTCTACAGATGAGGAAACAAAGACTCAGGGAGGTTTGAGTAACAAGTTCACATTTTCAGGGGTACCATCTGTCCAAATGCAAAAAGATGGTAGGGCGCAAGCTTTGTTTTTCCAGGAATGAGGCTGGATTTTCACCTACTCACTCATATGTTCACCAGTTCCCTTTAAAACCAGAATTTCTATAGTGACTGCACTAAGTTTCTATAGTGCTTGTTAAATTTGCAGCAAACCAGATCAAAAGAGGATCAAACCCTTGACCCTGGCACCACTGGCATCTGGTGCCAATGAACTGAGTCACAGACTGAAAGTATAAGCAGCCCAAAGCAGGATGGGACTAATGTGAAAAGTTTCCCTGCTCCCCTTCTCAACCATACTGGAGTAGAAAAGAAGGGGCTGCTTTTCATGAATGTATCTAGTTTTGTTCTCTCTCAAGTTTGGCTCGTATTTTGCACTGCAAGAAAACCCTAAAATGTGATGGAAATACAAAAATGGGAGAGAGATAAGAGGTATACTACAGGAATGAAAATATAACCATAGTAAGAAAAAGTGAATGAAGGAAAGTGCATAGAGGTGGGACTTTCAGGAAAACAGCATCACTGTGGCTATGAAATGGTTCCTTTCTCACTTGTGTTTGTATTCATACCTGTAGGTCTAGACAGTAAAGAGTAGGAAAGGTTAAAAATGAAAGGGATCCCTTTCCAAATAAAATTTGGTATTTCTTTTTTTAACTAGAGGATGTTTTTATTTTCTCGTGATACATGTAATATTTGATTACATGAGAATTAAAAATATCAAGTGTTAGGTCCAATAACTTTCATATTTCACAACAATAATGAGCATAAATGATGATTTGGATATCTGGGACCACTTTGATGAGCTATGAAAATATTTGTACTTCTTTTTGTAACACAGTATAGCTACTATAAATAGGAGTTTTTCCCCCTTTAAGTTTATTAATGCATAATTGATAAACTTTTTTATTTTTTATTATTTTTTATTCAGGTAACATTGGTTTAAAATGCTGAATAGGATTCAGAAATATCATATCCTCTTTCAAAGGAAGTAGGGGCTCTTTTCCTCAGAAAAAATACCTGGAAGACTATTGGGGTGTTATCCAGACACCACCCGTACTAACCAGGTGATTAGGGTGTATCTACTCAAACAGGCTGTGTAAAGCACTGTTATAGGGCCTCCCTGGTGGCATTAGGGTTTAAGACCTAGCACTATGAAGCTGTCAGCAGCCACTGCAGCATGGGTTTGATACCAGCCAAGGAGCTGACCCACATGGCCGGGCAGACCTCTCCTGTCTTGCCGGCCGCTCCCCTCAGCAGTGTATTTTAGTAGATCCGCCTATTCTGCTCCCCACTCTGTCTCTGATGAGTCCTCTCCCCCAACCCTCACACCTCGGGCAGACACCCCAGTTCTTGGATGCATAAATAAATACATCTTTTTTTAAAAAAGGGGAAGGGAAAAAGGCACTATTATATCAGAACACCTTCTAGAAGTTTCAGAAGCAGGAAGGCAGCCTAACCTATCTTTTGGAATGCAAATTTTCCTGCAGAACACCAGGCAAAAAACTCAGGAAGCCCAAACCAGACATCCCTGCCAAAAGACAAAACAGAAGTGTTTTCAGGGCAGCTTATCCTCTCTCCGTCTACCTGTTTACTTACTCAAGTTTTCTTTCCAAACTGCACATACAGTCGTCGGTCTGTGAATTCTGTATCTGTAAACACTACCAACATTTCCTTAATCTAGCTCTGAGAGCAACAGGCCCTCTAGGCTTTAATATCAAATTGATGAATCCTGAGCTCTCTCTGTGCAGAACTGCTACTGTGCTGGGCTCCATTCTGAATGTGGAGCGGAACCAAGCAGTGTTCCCAGTTCCATGAGACCGCAGTGAACTAGCAGTGCTGATCAGCCAGACCTGATGGTGTTCTTCATGCTCTGCCCAACCAACTCCACAGATCCCCTACTTAGTGGGACCCAAACCGCCATGGCTTGCACCACCCTTACATAGTCACCCGTCTTGTACAAATGTCCCAGCAACCCCAAGACTTGGCATTAGTTTCTCAGTGTGTCACCATGGCTAGAGCAAAGCAAAAGCCAAAAAATGAAATAGATAAATCTAGTCAGGTCAGGCATAAATTCAGCAGGTGAATTTATCTGCCAAGTACTTTTTTGGTTCTTCTCATTTCAGATGCTCTTTAAAGACAGAGGAGAACTTGATAATTTTCGAAGTAAAGAAAAGCAGTATTTGATTTCAATATTTGGTGCATAGCCAATCATACAAAAATGCTTAATAAAAAAATCCTTTTTGAAGTTATTATGCATTTATTATAGGATTATCGATTTCAGTAATGAGAATTTTATTGTTAGCATTGGGTTGACGTGAGACAATTTTTTTTTTTTCCCGGAGATTTCTCTATCATTTAATTGAGTCACCTTATTCCTTCTGCCCCAATACACAACTGTTCCTGTTATTCTTTGAATTAATTTGGATAAAAGCCTTCTGCAAAAGCCATATTTCTGGATCCACAACCTCTTCTCTGAGCATTTGTTAACACATTACATTATACTAAAGTGAATCCACCCTCCAGAAATTAGACAATCTATCCTGGTTTTAATATTTTTTGAAAGCTTACAAAGTGCTAATCACTAAAGCAATGATTCCCAGCCATGGTTTTGTGATAGCCTGGGGTATCTCCAATTACCTCATAGATCCTGAAAAAACAAAATTCCAAAAATTTCTTAGAATAAAATTAATGACAGTTTTATTTAATTTGAAAAATATCTGCAACTGACGGTAGGAAATGTGTCACACAGTGGTCCTGGTGGGCTGGAGCGGTGTAAAAAAGAAAGAAAAAACTGCAACAATAGCCCATTGAAATTCCTCAAAGCTCAAAATCATTATGCCTTCCAAAAAAAAAAATGCTATTCTTATTCTAGGAACTTAAATTCTATCACACACCTTATGACAGACCCAAAAAGGAACCAGGACAAAACCCATTCCAGGACATTTCCTCAAAAAGAATACAAATTAGGTGTGTCACACATTTTCATGAACAAAATAAACACGATAATATCTAATAATACTATTGCACTATTATATGTGCCTAAATTACAGTTGTACAAAGAAATGAGAAAATCTCTGGACTAAAACTGGGATTGCTTCTTAATTGTCCATAGGAAAAATAAAAAACAAAAACAAAGAATAAAACCTCCTGCAATGATAACCTCTTGAGATCATTCACCTTATTTTTAAAATGCAAAATCAAAAACATATTGAGATGCATGGTGAGGCAGTAAACCCAAGCACACTGCCTCCTCTCCTCAGCTAGACTCAGCA